GGCTGGCTGACTTTGGGCCAGTCACTCTTTCTCAGCCCAACCCACCTCACAGGATTGTTGTGGGGAAAATAGGAGAAGAAATGAGTATTAGATATGTTAGCTGCCTTGAGTTACTTATAAAATAATAAAGGTTGAATCAAAATCTAATAAATATAAACAAATAAACAAATCCTAGGAATGAATGCTACACTGAGCAATCCCAACTTGATTGCTTAAATAAATAGCATTGGTAGAATGTACTTTGGGGCTGGTTGGTTGTTCGTCCATCGATTTCGATGAAGACCTTGACATCTTATGGATTATGGGCCATCAGCGGTGTGTCCGTAGATGGCTGATGAGAGCGATGTTAGCACGGAATGTTCTGCCACATACTGAACAGAGAAATGTGGACACTATTGCTTCAGCATTTGCAGCTCTGGCTTTACAGAGTGCTCGCTTCTCTTGTGCCAAGATTGTCCTTCTGTGTTCATATGTCTGGCAACCCTGGTAAACCAGGGTACGCCATGTCGGGGCACTGCAGTATAGAAGGACCAAATCAAATGACCACCAAAAGCCATTTGTGGACAAATATAGCCAAACAAATACAGGCTGAAAGTTGCACATCTTAATTTAGCCTTCAGTACCGACTCCTCTATTTTTTTTTTCTTCAGTTCCTTCCATATATAAAATAGGATGTCAAGGTCTTATACTTATTTCTATTATCATAGTCAGTTATAATGTTCCTATATTTTTTTCTGAAAGATTCATAATAAAAATACATTCACATATAAGAAAAACAAAATTAAGATGCTCTTAGTCCCATTATGAATCTCTCACTTAAAATAAAATGTGATAAAACCAAGAAGGAAAGCCAAGTATCTGACTGCTACCCCACAGATGCAAATTGTTCGTTCTGCCTTCTCTTCTTTGTGTCCTTCACTTTCTCACAGTATGCCTAAGGCAGTGATGCTAGTTAACAGTTGCTTGTTTTTATTCTACAGCGAGTGCATCTCAATTGTTTTTTCCAGGCACAAAATATGAAAGCCAATTTAAACATGCCTGCTCCCCTTCCCCACACACAGTGGGGATTATTTTTGACATGTTTCTCATGCAATAGTTATATTGAACCAGAAGATGGAGGCATAGGCCATACCACCAAAGATTAATGAATTAGAGTTTAACTCTACTTAAGAATCATTTCCAGAAGTTCAATTAACATTCTCTCCATTTGACCGGTTAAAACTTTTCCTCTACAGCCCATTTCTCTCCAAAACAGATATAAGGCAGGCATCCAAAGAGATCAGGTTTTTCCTGAATAACCCCATAGTTGTCAGGAATGCAGTAAAGAGGTTTGAGCACCATTGCCATGACAAACTCAGATGAGGATGAATATGCAGGAAGTGAGAAGTTGCATTCCTAAAATACTTGTTCTTCACTATTTACCCTGTTATTTTTCTCATTATTTACACATGGGTGCTTGAATTAGCACACAGTCCAAGTTTTGCAGCAATAAAATTCTGCAAGCATCTTAGAGTGCTGGAGATCAACTGTATGCGCATTTAATGACATATTCTTTGCTAATGAAGCCAGCAACCTCTCAATGTCTTCTTTTGGTTAAATTGCACTTAGCCAAAATGTCCCAATCTTAGCAGTTGCTATCCAATCATATTGAAGATTGGAGAGAAAAAGTACATGATTTTTTTTTTAATTTAAGATTCAGGAAGAGAAGTGGGATAGGATCTAGGAGTCCTAGCCACCTAAGTATGAGCCAGCAGTGTGCTGTAGTTTCCAGAAAAGCCATTGCAGTTCTAAGTTGCATCAACAGAGGGATAGAATCAAGATCATGTGAACTGTTAATACCACTATATACTGCACTGGTAGGATCAGACTTTGAATATTGTGTCCAGTTTTGGTCACCATGATACAAAAAAGATGTTGAGACTCTAGAAAAAGTGCAGAGAAGAGCAACAAAGAAGATTTGGGAGTTTGAGGCTAAAACATATGATAGATGGTTGTAGGAACTGGATATAACTAGTCTAACAAAGAGAAGGACTAGGAATGGCATTATAGCAGTCTTCCAATATGTGAGGGGTGGTCACAGAGAAGAGGAAGTTTAATCTATTCTCCAAAGCACCTGAGAGGAGGATAAAAAGCAACAGATGGAAACTTATTAAGGAAAGATCCAACCTAGAACCAAGGAGATATTTCTTGTCAATGAGAAAAAGTAATCAGTGGAACAACCTGCCTCCAGAAGTTGTGGATGCTCCATTACTGAAGGTTTTTAAGAAGAGACTGGGGGACTTCTGGTTTTGCACGGTAGTGACCGGTCACGGGTTTGCAGATTCTCCGCACCCCCATGGCTAATTTCGCCCTGCCTGGGGATTCTAAATGGGTCTAAGTCACCCCAGAAAGGCGACGAAGAAAGAAGGGTGCTCCAGTGACTCTGGAATGGTGGCGGCCATTCCATTCGACTTGGGGAAAGTCTTCTAACCCGACAGGAGAAAGGCTGGCCGTATTGCATTGACCAGCCCAAGCTACTAGCAACTGAAGTCCAAACGCATTAACCAGCACAACTGTGAACAGCGTGCTTGAAACTTCTCTTTTCTATTCTACATTTAATTTCCTGGAACAGATCCCCAAGAAGCAAAATACCTCCAAAAGGGAAGGAGGGGGGTTTCCACCCCACCCTTGTACTAACTGAAGCGGCGAATTAATCTTTTTATGAAGGATCAAAATATACGGAAGTGAAATAAATATAAAACCTGAAATTTAAAACTTAAATCTAGATAAATCTAAAATTGTTTGAATGGTTAAGACTCATTTTAAAGATAATTGTTCATTTTGGAAATTGAAAAGCAAACAGTTGCTGACACCTAGTGGTGGATGAAGACTATGACAGCTATGACTTTAATATAAGACTTGACAAAACCTGGGAAAAGCTAATCTGTGTTTGTGACCTTCAAAGTTTTAACAACAAAGAACAGCTGTGGCAAAAAAGACAATAATCTGGGCTGTAGACAAAGAGATAATTATAAATTTTAGGGGAAAAAAATCTTTTTTGAACTATTTGGATTACAAATATCTATTTAATTGGGACTCTAAAGCTATTTGCAGAGAAAAGAAAGGAAGAGAAAAACTCAAATTCTTGGCCATCATGGATCAGTGACATGTAGAAAGAACATATCAAGAAAACATAAATACTTCACAGGAGATATATAGTATACTGCAACTAATTCAAACAACAATGACTTTAAATCACAAAGAAATCCAAAATAACTTTGAAAATATAAATCAATCTATTTCTAAGTTAACTCTACAACAAAAAAATTCCCAGAAAACAACAACAGAGAAGGAGCAGATAAAACAGATAAATGGATATAGAATTGAGAATAAAGATGGAACTTAAAAAACAAGGAAACATATTTAATTCTAGTGGGAAAAAATTCACAAGAATTGGAAAAAACAACTTATCCCTTAAGACTACAAAATAAATCTGAGGACAAGAAAACAGATTGGACAAAATGGACTGTAGAGATGTCAGGAACATCGGAAAGAAAGGAAATTATAAGAGAAGTGGAGAGAAAGAAAAAGAAAAAGATTTCCAACAAACATGGAAAGGCAGAAGACCCGTACAAAGACACTTCAACTGATTTACTTTTTATATCTACAGCAACATTTACGAACATACGGAAAAACTTTTTGATTCAGCAAAATACATTGATTAAGAAAGATACTGGCAAAGGAAAACGACTAAAGTTGAAACCAAGAAAATAGATGATGGGACTTACCAGAGAGAATACTTTAAAAAGAAACATTTGTTTGAATATGGTTAAAGAAATAGAAACGTTTTGGAATATATACGTCATTCTAAGAGGGATGAATTCCCTAAATAATATAGTATCCTTTTTTCCCTTTTTTGTTCTCTTTCTTGATATGAGTAATATAAAAAAGTTGAAATAAAGGAAATGTTTAGTTACTTAAATGTGATTGAATTTAAGAAAATTATAATTTAAGAAAATTATAATGGATAAAAAATGTTTTGAATAAGAGTTAAAGGACTAGATGACTAGATGTATTAAATGGAATGTTTAAAGATTAAACATATTTTTAATTATGGTTAAAAAGAATAAGAAATTTAGGAAATATATATTAGCTTAGGAGGGATATATATTTTAAGTAGTATGTTTTTTATGTTTCTTTACTCTTCTTCTCCTTTCTTTTTTTTTCATTGTTTTATCTATTCCTTAAGAAATGTAAAAGTGTGAGATGGTTCATATGGAAAAATAGAGTTAAATTTTTAAATATAATTAATTTTTGAGAACATCTCAACCAGTAAGAATACCTAAATTTGGTGAGAGAAACAAACTAAAATAAGGATTATAACAGGATATATGATAAGGTAACCAGAATGATTGGATAGAAAAGAAATATTATATTGACGTGATTATTATTTTTAGGAATATTGGGGAAAATTATATATTTAATTGTTATCTATCAAACAATAAGAATTGTATTAACTCAATGTTTACAAAAGAGGATATTTTGGGAAAGAGGAAATCAACTAAAACCATTATGTGGATTATGGATTATAGAAATCAATTGTTAATGATTGTTTTACAAATGTAACCCAGATAATACACTATTCACCAATTATTAGGTGATTTATGTTTTAAAAAAATCAATAAAATCTATTATACAGAGACAAAAAAGAAGAGATTGGACAACCATTTGTCTGAAATGGTATAGGGTCTCCTGCTTAAGCAAGGAGTTGGATTAGAAGACCCCCAAGGTCCCTTCCAGCTCTGTTATTCTCTTTTCTGTATTCTGCTTTTCAAAATTTAGAGTCAATACATTCCAACTATACTTTAAAACTAAAAACCAGATTAAGCAAATGAGATACCATAAACTTGATACTACTTATTTCAGCAATACTGCATAAACAAAACATTTGGCCTTTCCCTGTGCAATGTATTTGTTATACATTCCACATAAGTACATAAATATTGCATATATTCAGTTACCTCATCTCCTGCTTCAATCTCTTGAACTGCTCTGACTTCAGCCACGGTCCCTTTATAGGTAACAATCACATTGGGGCAACAACTATGGTTCATAAGTGCCACACTGGAAAAAACAGAGATTTTTTTTTTTTAAGAAACAAGCAATACTCCAATTTATGCAAAGATGTGAGATATATTTCTAACCCTGGAAAAAGTTAGCACAATGTAAAATGGAGATAACAATTTGCTTAATTGTTAGAATATGTTGCCACCAGTGATTATTTTAGAAAATGGAGTTTATATACAATATAGTTAAATGAATTAAAAGTCACAAGTTACCGTATATACTCGAGTATAAGCCGAGTTTTTCAGCCCATTTTTGAGCTGAAAAATGCCCCCCTAGGCTTATACTCGAGTCAATATTTTTCCCCAGTTCTTTGTGGACTTACAATATCCGAGCACCGTTTAAAGAGACGCCGAAGGAAGACGGTGCCCAACTGCGCGCCTTTCCCCCTTGGTGGGGTGGTCTTTTGCAGTCTTTTGCTCGGATATTGTAAGTCCACAGTAGCACGGGCGGCAGCAGCAGCGTCGTCGTCTCCCGCTCCGAATCCCAGGCTGGAGTCAAGCCCTTTTCAAAAGCACCGGCTCGGGAGCAAAAGCAAAAGGGGCGGGGGAGTGGGGCTTCATTCACGCGCGGATCCCCTACGCTCGTATTTATTTACTATACTATGCCCCGGCTGGCGGCAGCGGTGGCGGCAGCAGAAACAGCAGCAGCAGCGCCTCCTTCCTCGGTTAGCTCCGATTCCCTCCCCCCGTGTCGCCTCTGAGCTGCAGGGGCTCGCTAACAGCCAGACGCGGGGAGGGGGCGACCTTGCAAAAGGGAGGGGGCTTCTCCCAGTTGCGGGGAAGGCTGGAAGTGCGCCTTTCTTGGCCAGCCCGGGTAAATTCGGCCGTATTCTTCAATACGGGCCAGCCCCAGCAGTTCCGGCTGGTTGCTGGCAGTTGGCTGTTCCTCCCTGGCCGCCTCAGCCCCCCCGGCCCTGTCGGTGAGCGCCCGGCAGGGGGCAGCGTTGCCAGGCCTCCCCCCTTCGCGCGAGGCGTCTGGCGTTCCCCCTCGCGCTTGGCTGCGGCGGCCCGGGGTATTCCGTCCCGGCCTCGACACGCAGCGCCACAGGGAATGGAAGGGAAGGGGGGAGGGCCGTACCTGGAGCATCACAGGCTGGGGCAACGCCGGGAACACGCTGGGCGGCTGCGGCGGCGGCGGCAATGAGCTCAGCGGCTGCGGCGGCGGCGGGAACGAGCTGGGCGGCGGCAGCAACATGCTGGGCGGCTGCGGCGGCAATGAGCTGGGCCAGCGTGCTCCGCCGCCGCC